TCAGTCTAGCTAGAGACTTATAAGTTTCACTGATCTTTTCAAAAGAGCAGCTGTTACATCAGTTAATTTTTCTCTATTGATTTCAATTTCATTGATTTATCCTATTTCTTTTTTTAATTTTTTTTTATTTGAGAAAGAGAGTATGAGAGTGAGAGAGAAAGCACAAACAGGCAGAGGGATTTAAAGAGAAACAGACTCCATGCTAAGCAAGGTGCCCAACGTGGGACTTGATCCCAGGACGCTAAAATCATGACCTGAACCAAAGGCAGATGCTTAACCAACTGAGCCAGACAGGCACTGTATCTTATTTATTATTTCTTTTCTTCTGTTTACTTTGGGCTTAATTCATTTTACTTTTTCTGGTTTCTTCAGGTGTAAAATTAGATTACTGATTTTAGATCTTTCTTTTTTACTACATGAATTCAATAATATAAGTTTCCTTGTAAGCACTGCTTTTGCTGCATCCCACAAATATTGGTGAGTTGTTTTCTTCATTTTCATTTAATTCAAAATATTTTTAAGTTTCTTTTTAAATTTGTTTTTTGATGTATTATATAAAAGCAGGTTGTTTAATCTCCACATATCTTGGAATTTTCTAATTATCTTTCTATTACTAATTTCCTATTACATTTCACTGTGTTCTAAGAGCACACATTGTAGGTTTCTATTATTTAAACTTGTTAAGGTGTATTTATGGCCCAGAATATGATCTATCATGGTGAATATTCCATATGAGCTTGAGAAAAATATGTCTTCTACTGTTGATGGATGAAGAAGTCTAGAGATGTCAATTACATCCAGTTGAATGATGGCACTGTTAAGGTGAACTATGCCATTTCCTATCTTCTGCATGCTCTACCTGTCTATTTCTGAGAGTGGGGTATTGAATTCTCTAACTGTGAAAGTGGATTCTTCTATCTCTCCTTGCAGTTCTATCAACTTTTGTCTCACATAGTTTGACACTCAATGTTAGGCACATACACAATTAGAATTGTATTGTCTTCCTGAAGAATTGACCCTTTTATTATTATGTAATGCCCTTCTTTACCCCTATAGCTCTCCTTATTTTCATGTCTTCTCTGTCTAAACTAAATACATCTACTCTTGCTTTATTTTGATTAGCATTAGCATGGTATATTTTTCTCCATTTACTTTTAATCTATAGATATCTTTATATTTAAAGTGGCTTTCTAATAGTCAATATACATAGGTTGTGTTTTTTAATCTACTCTAACAATTTCTGTCTTTTAATTAGTGCTTTTAGATCATTAACTTCCAAAGAGGTTATTGATACATTTGAAACAATATCCACTATATCTATTACTGTTTTCTATTTGTTGACTTTGTTCTTTGTTCTTATTTTTACCTTCCATTTTTTTTGCCTTTTGTAGTTTTAATTGGGCATGCAAATTATTCCATTTTTTCTCTTTTCATACCATATCTGTTATACTTCTTTTCTGTTTTTGTTTTTTACTTTTTTTAGTGGTTTCCTTACAGTTTGCAATATACATTCAGAGTTAATCCATGTCCATTGTCAAATAACACTATACCACTTCATGGGTAGTGTAAATACCTTATACTAACAAAATAATACTAATACTTATTCCCCCATCCCCATATCTTGCTGTCATTTGCTTCACTTATATATAAGCATACATATAACCACACATATATTAGCATATATAAGTATATAAGCTGTATTCATAAGCTGATGGATGACTAAGTACATTGTTAGTATTATTTGAAAAAACTGTCATTTGTTAGATCACTTTGGAATAAGAAAAATAAAATTTTCATTTTACCTTCTTATTTCTTCTTCATTATTCTTCTTTATGTAGATCTGAGTTTCTGACCTATATTATTTTCCTTCTCTTCTAAAGAACTTATAATATTTTTGCAAGGCAGACCTACTTGCAACAAACACCCTCAATATTTGTTTGTATGAGAAAGTCCATTTTAAGGATAATTTTGCAGGCTACAGAATTCTAAGTTGTTGGGGTTTTTTCTCTCATCACTTTAAATATTTCATTCCCTTCTTGCTTAAATAGTTTCAAATAGATTGAATGTAATTCTTATCTTTCTTCTTCTATAGGTAAGATGCTCTTTCCGTCTGTTTTCTTTCAGGATTTTTTTTAATCTTTGATTTTCTGTAGTTTGAAGATGATATGCCCACACCAAAAATAAGTGTAGTTTTTGGAATTTATTCACTTAGTGTTGCCTAAGATTCCTAAATTTGTGGTTTGGTGTCCAAGAATAATTTGGGGAAATTCTCAGTCATTATTGTTTTAAATATTTGTTCTGTCCCTTTCTCTCTTTTCCTTCTGGTATTCCCATTTTCCATATATTACTCCTTTTGTAGTTGTCCCATAGCCCCTGCATATTTTGCTTAGGGTTTTTTTGTTGTTTATTTGTTTTCAATCTTTGTTAACTCTGCTTTTCAGTTTTTAAAGACTCTACTGATACATCCTCTAGCTCAGAGAGTCTTTCCTCAGCCATGTCCAATCTCTTAATAAGCCCATCAAAGCATCCCTCATTCCTATTACAGTGTTATCTCTAGCATTTCTTTTTGGATCTTTCTTAGTATTTCCATCTCTCTGCTTACATCACCCATCTTTTCTGCATGATGTCTACTTTACCCATTAGGCCTGTAGTATATTAATCATAGCTGTTTTAAATCTCTGGTCTGATAACTCCAACATCCCTGCCGTATCTGGTTCCAATTCTTGCTTTGTCTATTCAGATTGTGCTTTTTGTCTTTTTGTATACTTTGTAATATTTTCTTGATAGCCAGACATGATATATCAGGTAAAAGGAACTGCTATAAACAGGCCTTTAGTAATGTGGTGGTAAAGTGTGGGAGGAAGTATTCTATAGACCTATGACTAGGTCTCACTCTCTAAGTGACCCTATGTCTCTGGACTGTGAACTATACAAGTACTTTTCAGTTTTTTCCTCCCCCTTTATAAATGAGACAGGATGACAGAATGGACTGAAGTTGGGTGTTTCTCTTTATCAAGTCAGGTATGTCCTTAAATAACCTACCAGGTTAGGCTCTGATTAACTAATTTCCCCTGAAGGTAGGCCTTCTTGAGAAGAGTGTCCTCTGGAAAATTTTGAAATGGTTTCCTTTCTCTGATATTTACTATGGGAATCTGGTCAAACTCCTGGAGGTCAATATCAGAATACTGTTATGGCCTTCTTAGGACTGTGTCCTCCTGGAGCTTTTAACTCTCAAAATTGTTCACACCGAGCTTCCTGCTATTTGTTAATAATGGTTCATTTTAGCTATCTGGCATAGGTTTTCACATCAATTTTTTTTCTTTCTTAAATTTTATTTTAATTCCAGTATAATTAACATATAGTGTTACATTTGTTTCAGATGTACAATATAGTGATTCATCAATTCTATAAATTACTCAGTGCTCATCATGATAAGTGTACTCTTGATCCTCTTCACCTATTTCACCCATCCCCCACACCCCTCCCTGCTCTGGTAACTACCAGTTTGTTTTCTAAAGAGTCTGCATTTTGGTTTTTTGCTTTTTTCTTTATTTCTTTGTTTTATTAAATTCCACATATGAGTGAAATCATATGGTATTTGTCTTCCTTTGACTAATTACTTATTTGACATTCACTCTAGATCCACCCATGTTGTTGCAAATGGCAATATTTCATTCTTTTTTTATGGCTGGGTAATATTCCATAGTGTATATATATCACTTCTTCTTTACCCAGTAATTTATCAGTGGTCACTTGCATTGCTTCTATAATTTGGCTATTGCAAATAATGCTACAATAAATATATGCATGCATTTAACTTTTCAAATTTGTGTTTTGTATTCTTTGGGTAATTACTGGATTGTAGGGTAGCTTTATTTTTAATTTTTTTGAAGAACTTCCATGCTGTTTTCCACCCTGGCTGCACCAGTTTGCATTCCCACCAACAGTGCATAAGAGTTCCTTTTCCTCCACATCCTTGCCAACACTTGTTTCTTCCCACATCAATTTCTGCTCATGAGTCTTTGCTCTAGTAAGCTGCAACTCTCTGTATTTGCATATTTGTCCTTTTAATTTTGGGGGAAGAAGTTTGCCCTGTATCTTCCCTTCTCTTATAGATCTATTTAAAAAGTTAATTTTTTTACTCTATTCAGCTTTTTAACTTGTTGTTAAGATGGAGTGAATATTTCTAAGCTCCCTATATGTGGAACCAGAAACCAGAAGCCCTCTTTATTATATTTTTAATCAAGTAGTGGCTGTAATGTCCATTCTAATCCTAAGCAATGTAAATTCATTAAATATAATAGGAACCAGGCTCTCTGAAAGCTAAGATATAAATTGAGGAACTTGTTCTGTGGACAGAATTTCAACTCTACATGCAACACATAATAGATATCTATTTAGTCTGCTTGGTGTCCATTAGCTATTCTTCTGTTAGCAATATGCAGTTTTCCTTTGAGGAACTAAAGGAAACTTAAGGGAACTGTAAGCAGTGGATAGAGCTTCTGTGCAACTCTCAAGAAAAGTTCTCTGCCCTCCCATAGCAAAGTGTTGGACTCATGATTCAAATTAAATCAATCAGGTGCTCTCTTTGTTTTAAATTTCCTTTTTGCTTTAACCAAATGGGTTTTCTGTTGCTTATAAACAAAGGATCCTAATAAGTTAAATCAAATATACAACATATCACTTCATTCATTCATTCATTCATTCATGTATTTATTTATAACATATCACTTTAAAATGCAAATAGCCACCAGGTGTTGGATGGAAGTATTAAATTACCATATTGTACACCTGAAACTGATATAAAACTGTATGTTAACTGGAATTTAAATAAAAACTTTAAAACGCTTTAAAAAATAAAATGCAAATAGCTGTCAGCCATATAAAATATGATTTAACTTTGGCTTCTATGGGTAATTATATGTAAATTATATATAAAATTTCAAAGATCAAATCAGTTCCAAATTTAAAACCAAATGAGAAATGACTGTATCACTTACATTTTTTTCTGTCCATCCATTCTTCTAGCTCTGCAAAGTTAATAATTTGTCTTGTCCTCCAAAGGCCAAGACGATATTTAACACGATGGATCAGTCTATGATACATGTTTATAACTGCTCTCAAATTTGGTCCATGAGACAAAGCCTATAAAACAGTAATATAGACAGTAAAGCCCCATTTTTACATATTTCTTCTATAATATATATTTAATATGGTTTTGCCCTTCCCATTTCATCAATTTCACCCAGTTTATTAAATTATAGATGTATTTACTAATGTTTATTGTCTAGGTTGGCTAAACACATGCACTGTAGAATGAGATAATCTCCTCGAAGTTCAGAGAGCTTCATTATGAGCTGCTTTGTCATCAAATACTCATAATTCCCATAGCATACAGTGTTCAATGAAGGATACTTTCATGGTTTCCAGATTTCAATAATGTGTAACCCACTTGGCCAGAAATAAAAAGATTTTATTAAGATATTATTCTGTATGATGATTCTTGCCTAAGCTATTCACTAGGGGTGCCCAAATCCTTGTTTATTTTCTTTATTTTGAAAATTGTATATTAGTGAATTTTACTTATTTTTTTTACTGGATGTCTTCAGGTTTTTCATGTTGATTTGTAAAACTCTGTTAAATAAACTAATCCTTTTCAGCATATGTGCAAATTTTATCAGTTTACCTTTTAACTGTGACTATATTTTTCTATATATACATTTTCTATATTATACTACAATAGCTTTAAAAATTAAAGTATAAAAATTAATTTATTTCAGGTTTTTTTCTTAACCAAATAAATTTCCATTTTATCATTGCAATTATTTTTACATTTTATATTTACTGGCTCATTAATTTATCTACTTATCTCTATTAATTCCTTTTTAAAGCAATATTTTCCTGTTCTTGACTTTCTGAATTAAAGACTTAATTCACCTATTTTCATTATTTTTTAAGACTGTAATTTTTAAGACTGTATTTAAGTTCATAAATTCCTCTCTGAATCATCCTTCCTTTGATGTGTTTTGTATACCATTTTACAAGGAAAAAAACTGAAGCAAAAAATCTTTAAATAACTTTCCCAGTTATTGGGTGGTTAGTTGCAATAGCTAGTAAGTTAGCAAGTTGCAGAATTGATTTTGAAACTGAAACAAGGACACTCCAGGGTCAACATTTTTAATTATACACTATATCCCTCTTAATTTATTTGAATTTACTGTTTTTTCATGCATTCTGTGAGTTTTTGGTTTCTTTCCTACTACATTTCTTTCAGTATTTAATAACATTTCCCAATGTTTATTTTTAATCTGCCTTTTATTCAATAGGCTTTCGTAGCTTATAGAAAAAATAATGAATTGGTTATACTGGTAACACTGGTAGAGCACATTCCCTATTATATGAATTTTAGTGGGAGGGCAGAACAAACCTCCCACAATTTGATATTAATGACCCAAGCTTCCTTTGTTGAAGTTTTGTTCATTATCTACATTAGTACCAGATTTTTAAATCAAAACTAGTAATGCTTTGGAGCAAAACAGAGGTAAATCTATTTGTGTGGTAGAGTAACTGTGGCAGCAATGTCCATTTTTCAAGGACAGGAGTACCCAGGATTCAGTATCTGCATTAGACTCCTGTAAAGGTTGTGGTTGCAGTCCTGAGAGCTGCCTAACCCTCATCATCCTTTCACGTTTTTTTTTTTAGATTTTATTTATTTATTTATTCATGAGAGACACACACAGAGAGAGAGAGAGTCAGAAACGCAGGCAGATGAAGAAGCAGGCTCCATGCAGGGAGCGGGATGTAGGACTCGATCTCGGGTCTCTAGGATCACGCCCTGGGCTGAAGGCGATGCCAAACCGCTGAGCCACCCGGGCTGCCCCCTTTCACGTTTTTGAACTTAGTTCTCCAAACCTCTGCCCAATATTCTACTCAATATCTTTCTGCTTAAATCTCTTGGTAGATTTCTTTTGTTTATAATTAAGAATCAAGCAATGTTTTCATTGTGCTTTAGAATATGAGCCAAAAGGATCTGGGTTGGAGAGTATTTCCTAAATGGATGATGACATTTGCTAAGAGAGCAGGAGCACTGGGCAGCCAGCCATCAAATCCAAGTGAAGTGTCTTTCCCTCCAAACCTAATAAATCCATTTTTGAGGATACAACCTATCTTGTGGGGGATCAGATCTGAGGCATTCAAAAAGTTACCTAGGTTTTCATGTTTAAGAAGTTGAGTCAGATAAATTTATAAGGGTCCATCTGCTTGGTTCCTCCTACAGTGTGCCTCTCTGTCAGTCTTCTGCATGAAAATATGCCTCCACTACAGTGCTATGTACATCTCAGTATGTAAATCTTTCACCATATTTCTAAACATTTCTCAAGATAAAATTTTTTAGAAAAATGTAAAAAATTGATATTTACAAAGCAATATTGGAATATAAAAGACACTGCAAATTAGTAATTATAATTTTCCAATCCTTGTTGACTTAAAGGGTAAATATATCAGAGTTACCATATATCAATGTTTAAAATTCTTTCCAGTATGCACTTTCAGCCTCTCTTTTGTCTGATATGATCATGTCTTGTTTTTAAAAAGTAATGAGGGATCCCTGGGTGGCTCAGCTACTGAGCGTCTGTCTGCCTTTGGCCCAGGGCATGCTCCTGGAGTTCAGGGATCTAGTCCCACATCCGGCTCCCTGCATGGAGCCTGCTTCTCCCTCTGCCTATGTCTCTGCCTCTCTCTCTCTCTGAGTCACTCATGAATAAATACATAAAAATAAAATAAAACATAATAATAAATAAGTAACACATGGATTGCTTGTTTGGAGAATTCCACTACATTATGACACTTACTGGGGCTTAATTTCTTTGATTACTAGTTAGAGTGCTCTCCTCTCATATTTATTTGCCATTTATGCTTCTCATACAATAAAGTACTATTTTGTGTCTTCTACTTATTTCTTCCATTATTATTAGAGTGTGTTTCTTATCAGTTTATAAAAGGTCTTTACATATTAAGTTTTTTTTAACACTCATGCTATATCAAATGTGTTTCCACAATCTAACTTTTTAACTTTTAAAAATATTTAGACATATAAGCAGATAACTTGCCTACAACTTGCCTACATGTATTAACTACAGTCTAACCTTATCTAAACACTTACATATGACATCCAAAAGGGCCTTTATACAAAAATCTTGTTAAAGCAGGAAAAGGGAAAAGGTTTTTAAACCTAAAACTAGACTTTTAAACCTACTTTAGACTTTTAAGCCTAAAAAAACCCAATGAAACAAAAATGTAATATTCTGAATTGCTATCTTACACACACATACATAAACACACAAGTGTACAAGCCACAAATAATGTTAAATGTGATTTATATATATATATAATATATAAAATATATATAATAAAATATATATAAAATATATATGTAATAAAATATATATATATAAATGTGATAAATATAAATTCACCTCCTCACCCACTAAAGAATTAGTAAAGCCCTTAGCCACACATAAGGTAGCACACATTTAGGTAGCTAAAGCAAATGTCTCTTTCCTGGGTTTGGTTCTTCTCTCTCCAGGCCTCTTTTCTGTATCACCTGCCATTCACTTTGATATTGGTCAGAATGATTATTATATACCTGAAGCACATGCTTAATGCTTCTACTGCAAATTGCTTAGTATAAAGACTGTTAGTACATTCTTGGTACATTCAACTGTATCACTGAATCTTGTCTTCCTTCCATGTGCCTCTGCAAATTTAAGTAGCAGCTTCTGATTACCACGCAACTTTTAACCTTTATATCAATATATCTGTGGCCCTCTGCATCATCTCCCTGATGTAAGCACACCCCAACTGGCTCTACAGTATCAGAAGGGAGTTTTAACCTAATTTTGGCAGGACACTCCAATGCTATGATCTGATCTGAGAAAAGACTCCACCATTTTGTAATGAGCATTGAATACTATTGTTACTAGAATAGTCTAATGTTTTAAAATGTCTGGAACCAGACAGACTTAGATGTGATGTTCAAATTTCAACTATGCCACTGGCTGGATGTGCAACTTTAGACAAATGTCGTTAACTCTCTGTGCCTTACTTTCATGGCTAGTAAAGATAGCTAAACAACTTAGAGGAATGGTATCACTTCATTTCTTGATCACCAACTTCACCTGGGTTCTCAGGTGGTCTGGAAGATTCACTTGTGTTTTTATATGTATTTCTCTTTTTGCCATTTTCTGTAGGAATTCAATCTCCTCAAATATTCAAACTCACCTTCTAAATGCTCACTCTTAGCAAATGACATTGTCCCATATTTAACCAATGGGAAAACATTAGATTATTGTTATCTCAACTTCCTATCACCAAATCTAAACACTTAGCAACATCCTTTGGTCCTACAACAGAGAAATACATTTCTCTTCTCTAAGGCTAATCTTGTCAGGTGTCTTATAAACACACGCCTTCCAATATTTTTAACCTATATGGATTATCTTTATCTCTCTTATATCATCAACATTCCTTTCTTATTGGCTTTTATAATAAGCATTTAAATGTAGTTAATTAAGTATTTTCCATCATAAACTATCCTACCCTAAACTTTATAGTGTCTCATATTTATCTTCTCTAGATGTTTTCACTTCCTTGCTTTCCACACATCACTCCACTGAAACTTGCCAAGGTCATCCACGAACTAACTGTTGTAAAGATAGAAAATTCTGTCTAGACCTTCATTCCTAGCAGCATTGGAGACTAGTGACTCCACCTTCTTTCTTAAACTGCCTCTGAATTTCCTTGATCTAGCATATTCCAGTTTTCTTCTTTACCTCTCTGGCTATTGCTTCACTATAACTGGATTCTTCATCTCCTGCCTTCCCCTTGAACATTGGCCTTTCCCTTTACATGCTTTTCTCCTTAATCTATATACTCTCCCTGGACAGCACGTTGAATCCCATGGTTTCAGTTACTATCACTAATAATGACCTCAAATCTATGGATGGGGGCAGAGTACAGGAAGTCATCATTGGTCAGGGAACTAATTCATAATATTTAGGAAAAAAATTCAAACTTCACATCCTCTGACCCAAATATGCTATTATACATCCTCCATCATGTTGAAAATAATTTATTTTAACTTACAT